ACCACTACTTCAGTGGTACCGGCCTACCTGCTACTTGAGTGTTTTTCCCCTCTGCTCTAAGTGTCGCGGGCCTAACCCCCGCTACTCGAGTGTTTTCCCCCTCCAACCCTTCACGGTCACGGCCACAGGTAAGTACCGGCCCTGCGGGGCCTTGCAACCAACAAGTACCCTTGCGGGTCACACACACACTCAATCGTCAAGCACTCAGACAGGCATGCAAACCAGCAGGCACGCACACACACACAAACATGGAAATCACAGCAGAATGCGGGAATTTCAACAAGGCATTCATTCCAGTAGCAAATCTAAAAAATCAGCAGTGTGCTCAGTCTGTGTTTTTGGCGGGTCATTACACTCTCCTTCTCCTTCTTTGTCTTCTCCTTCTCAGTCTTCTCCTTCTTCTCCTCCTCCTCCTCTTCTTCTTCCTCCTCTCCTCTTTTACTATCTTGTTCTCAGTTGCCTTCTTTCTTTTTTTTTTTTTCCTTTTTGTCTGGGAAAAGTCGACCCTGCCTATCAACAGAACCTCCCCCCGCGCGCGGGCGTGACGATGCGAAGTTGCAAACCTCACCCCCTCCTCCACCTCCCACTCTTCTTCTCCTGCTCAGCGTCATCTTCTTTTTCTCCTCTTCCTGTTTTTCTTCTCATCCTCCTCAGCGCCATCTTCTTCATTCTCCTCTACTCATCTTATCTTTTCCTCCTCCCCTCCCCTTTATAATTTTTTTTGGAAGAAAACTATGAAAATCGCGAACAGTCCCCCCTTTTTTTTCTGAGAAATTTCAGAAAAAACGGACCCCTCCTCCGCCTCGTACTCTTTTTCTCCTCCTCTGCATACATCCTCACCACCACGATAACCCTCTCGACCCCCCCCCCCCCCCCCCCCCCCCCCCCCCCCCCCCCCCCCCCCCCCCCCCAACCGGGAGTTCATTGTTTTCTTTGCAGATTCTGACTGTTCTCGGTGAGTGCAGTCGAACCCTGCTTTCAAAAAAAAATAAAAAATAAAAATTGGACAACTTTTGAGCCCAACTGGAATTCCAGTTGCAGGACCTGAGTCGATCCGGGCTGGTTGCATCCGCGCCGGTCCAACCTGCCGGTTGCAGGCCCAACACTGGTTGCCAGGCTTGTAGGCCAGTATACAGAGCATACAATTCTCTTTCCTAGGTAGATGCTGCAGTTTTTTTTATTAGGTGTCCAACTTAAGCATTCTATTGGCCTGTATCATTTACCTTCCTCATGCTGTTGTAGAACAGCCCGAATGCCATGCTGACTAGCATCAATTGTGACCATAAATGGTTTATTGGGGCTTGCAATTTTCAGAATGGGATAGTGTGTCAACTTCCATTTTATTTGTAACAGTTCAAAGTTATCCCAATGCCACTCTACGCCCTTCTTAGTCAATCTCCTAGTGGGTGTGAGTATTTCACTCCTATTTGGGATAAAATGCTTATAATAATTGACAAGACCCATAAACGATCGTAGTTCATGGATGTTAGTAGGACGTGGCCAATCTCTCACTGCAGCAATCTTACTGTCATCTGGTTTCAGGCCATCGGCGTTGATTGCATACCAAGGTATAACACTTCCTTCTTGGCCCATTTACACTTCTCGGGGTTAATCTCCAACTGCGCTTCTCTTAACTTCTGCAGTACTATACTCAAGTGCTTGCAATGTTCTTGCAGTGATTTGCTGAAGATAAGTGCGTCATCGAAATATACTACTACAAACATATCTAACCAGTCCCTAAATATTTCATTCATGCACTGCTGGAAAGGGGCAGGTGCATTAGTTAGACCAAAAGGCATCACATTGAACTCAAAGTGTTCATACCTCGTCCTGAACGTTGTCTTATGTCTGTCTTTCTCTGCCACCTCAATTTGATGGTATCCCGACTTCAAATCTCTCTTTGAAAATCATTTACAGCCCTGCACTCTCTGGAACAATTTATCTATTCTAGGGAGTGGTTCAACATTCTTCACTTCAATTGCATTCAGTCCTCTGTAGTCAATGCACATTCTTAACTCACCTTCTTTCTTTGGTACAAACAATACCGCTGCTCCATAGGGTGAGCTACTAGGGGTGTCGTTAGACACTCCTTAGGAGTTCCCTAAGCCACAAGGATTTTTCCTTGTGGCTCGTAAGGGAATTTTACGGCGTCGTTCCACGCATCTTTGGGGACGTCCAAGGGAAGAAGAAGAAGAAGAAGAAGAAGAAGAAGAAGAAGAAGAAGAAGAAATGGAAGAAGAAGACAAAGAGGAAGACTAAGAGAAGAGGAAGAAGAAGAAGAAGAAGAAGAAGAAGAAGAAGAAGATGAAGAAGGAGAAGAAGAAAAGGAGGAAGAGGAAGAAGAGGAAGAAGAAGAAGAAGAAGACAAGGAAGAAGAAGAAGAAGGAGAAGGGAGAAAAAAAGAAGAAGAAGAAGAAGAAGAAGAAGGAGAAAAAGAAGAAGAAAAAGAAGAAGAAGAAGAAGAAGAAGAAGAAGAAGAAGAAGAAGAATCTCCTTCTTTCCACTCACCTTCTTGATGTCTAAAAAATGGAGTCTTAACCTTGATGAAGCTTCTTCCTCCTTGCAAAAACACCTCCTTGGCTATAGCTTTCTTCTTCCTCAAGCCCCCCTCTTCTTCTCCTTCTCAGTCTCTCCCAAGTTGCAACAAACTCCTATCACTACGGCTATGGAGTCCTTCCCTCTAGGAGGGCTAATGGGACTCCCTCTAGCCTCTCTCTCTTCCTCACACTCTGGGACTATGGCAGATCACCTCCCTAGTGTCAGCCTCACTACCACTAGCCTCTAGAGCTCTTCTCCCTAGCTCATAGTCTACTCTAAGCTCCCAAACTGGCATGGGTTCCCCTCTCCTCTCTCCAAGTGAAAGAGTGTTTGCTTGTTTGCGCAATTATTTCTTGTGTTGGCCCATGGTTCCCTTGGGACATCTCAAGTCCCCGCCACTTTTCTCCGTACTAGTTCCATTTTTTTTTGTCCCGTCGGTAGTCCCGTCGGCGCGTGTCCCGTTTTTCGACTTTTATTATTTGGGCCCACTTGGTCCCCGACAACATCTCGGACGGTGTCCCGTTATTTTTCGACTTTTATTAACTGGGACCTTCTTGCCCTTGGCGGTTCCAATATCTCTTCCTTGGGTGCCACATGTGTGCCGATTTTTCTTGGTCGTGAGATATCATCTCACGGTTGCCGTTTACCGTCTCCACTTGCCTCATGCCGAAATTACTTCTTTCTAGCATTTTGGCCTTGCCGTGGCTCATTTTTCCTTAGCCTAGGCATCCTCATGAAGTCCGTTATTTCTCGGACTGCAATCATGGTCATTTTCCTAGTCCCACAGCCCCACAACTTGCCCCATGCTAGAAGAAAATGAAGCGTTTAATTTCTAAGTGCATTCGGGCTCAATATTGGTTCCGGATGTACTCAAAATATGTGTTTTCCCTTCCCCATGCAGTCCGTTGCAACTCGGACTGCAATAGGGGTCAATTCCTTAGCCCCAATGCCCCACAGCTAGCCCTTACTTGAAAGAAAAAGAAACGGTCAACTCCCAAGTGCATCCGAACTCCATTTTGGCTCCGGATGCATCTAAAACATGTGTTTCTCTTCCCCCATGTAATCCGTTATTTTTCGGTTCCATGGGGCCTTGATTTTCTTTGATTTTCTCTGCAAAATCAAAGAAAATCAAAGTCCTTTGTAACCGCCATATTCCAGAATGAATCTGGTCACGGATGTATCTCCCCAAGTGACCGTTTTTTACCGTTAAGACCCTTTTCTCTTTTCTTTTCTTTTCTTTTCTTTTTCCTCCTTTCTTGGACAGTAGGGACCTGCCAGTCCCTACTTGTAGCAGTCCCTACTGACGGCCAACTCACTCACTCCCTCTCACTCTTTCTGTCTTATTCTCCCACATTTTCTTTTCTTTTCTTTCTTTTTTCTAGCATGCCAAGTGTCAACTGGCCGTTAAGGCCCTTTTCTAGGTCCTTCCTCTTAGTTTTGACCCTTCTTATGCCCAAGGTGCCTTCCATAGTGGCCCCTCTTACTCTGATTTTCTCCCGAAGGCGTATTTTTATCGTGGGGTCTTTTTTGACTCGATTTTTCGGATTGCTCCCATGCCTCTCACTTCAAGTTTCTTTACTTTTTCTTTTCCTTTCGGCCTTCCCGTTTGCTACCGCTAGTGTTTGCACCAGTTGTGCCAATATTTTTTGCCATCAAGATCTCGATCTTGACGGTGCACCTTGTCTTAATTATTTTTTCCTCATGCGGTTTCGCCGTTTCCTCTTGAGACCTTCATATGTCCCCGCCACTCGTCCCGTCGGTGGTCCTCGGCACTTAGTCCCGCCGGCGGTCCCCGACACTTAGTCTCGTCCCTGGTCCCCGACACTTAGTCCCGCCGCTGGTCCCCGACACTTAGTCCCGCCGGCAGTCCCCGCCATATTTTTTCCTGGATACCATTATTTTCACTTAGCCCCGCGTGGTCCCTAGGTCCTTTCCTCAAGGTGTCCCACGTTCTTTGGGCGTCTACCGCCCTATGGTGGCCTCTTTCTCTTGCTTTTTCTCGGCCGTTGCATGCGCTATTTTTCTCCGGCCGCGGGGCCTCCATTCCGAGGTCCTTGCGAACTACCGAGGGCGGCCCCACGTTGGGCCCTTAATTTCTAGCGTCCCACGGCCACCTGGGCCGTCCACCTTTCGGCTGCCCTATTCTCTCGTCGTTCGCCGTGCCGCATTTTACAAGTTGACGGCCTCTTGGCCTTAGTCATGTCGAATTTCAGTGGCCCTTTTGGCCTCATGCTATGCCCCTTCGTGCCCATGTCCTTGTGCTTACCTGCTTGTCGTCGCCGGTTCTTTCCCCGACGGTTCCCGACCTAGGGCATCATTCCTTCCGATGACCTAGTCCCTTGTCTTTTCTCTCTCTTACTTCCTTACTCCAGATTTCTCTGTCGTGCATAATCCGGCTATATACAGTCTCTCGAGTGGCAGGATGTTATTCGGGACTCACCAGTCCCGACACCGGTACCACTGTCGGTACCTTGCCAGTCCAGCCCAGTCCAGTCAGCCCGCTGGGTATACCCCAGTTGTTGTGTGTTTTCCATTCGTTCTTCATTTTGCACTTTTGGAGTACGTGCTTGTTGAGTCCACGTCGGAGCTGCGTCGTCCCTTCTAGCTTCATCTCCATCTCCTCCCCCTTCAACTCTTCGTCTTGATCCTGACGGACCACCATCTTAGCGGGTCCGTCACACTCCTCTTGTATACGTGGACGACGACATCAGTTGTGCGCCGTCGACTTTTCTCCTTCGTTGCCTCAGAGGCAGTTCTCGTCGTGCGCCATCGGTACGCACCATCGTTGTTCTCGCTTGATCGGTGGGACTTCAATCGCTGCTCAAACTTCTATTCTCGCTCATCCCATCCAACCGCCAACCTCGATCGGAGAGGCAAGACAAACCATATCTATGCGAGCTGCCGCCCGTGGTAGGAAGCGAGACGACATCCAGGAAGACACTGAAAGGCGGGACAACATCCCGGAGTACACTGAAGGGCGGGACAGAGGTCAGCAACATGTCCCCGAGGCAAAGAGGGTTCGTTCGGACGGTGCTTCAGGAAGCATACCTCCTCGTGGAGCGCATGGTCGGGCGAAACCAATGGAAGGCGACGACGACGACGTCTTCACGACGGAGGAAGAACTAGTGGAGGCGACTGTGTTTGCAGTGTGAGAGAGTGGTCGCCAACGTGCTTCTGATCAGACCGTTGGCAGGAAGAGGGGGACACCGCCACCCGAGGCGTAGAGCATGCGTGCCCGCGGAACGCAGACAGAGACGGAGGACGTCGTTGATCTCGGCGTCGATGATGACGATCAGTTGGAACAACGTCACCCGTGCAATGTGACTCAAGGCACCACAACGACGACACTGAGGACATGCAGCGCCAGTGACGAAAGGCCACCTCCGGGTAAACTGCCTGCCACACCGACTCAACCACGTCAGCGTAGCCCTGCTGAAGGGGGAGGGTATGTCAAACGCAGTGGCGGGGGGAAGTCTAGGCAGACACGCACGCAACTGGGGGCGAGACAGTCGGTGCTGCGGCTGTATGTGCTTCAGGCATCGTGGCCTCTGTTGGACGAGCTAGAGAGGACATGCAAGTCAAGCGGGAGGTGGCTCGTGGCGAGAACAGAAATGATTGGGAGGTTGACAAACCGCGTTTGAGCCGACTACGGAGGGGAGCCATTGTGAAAGATTCGATCGACCGTGCTAGACTCTGGGTTGATGACAAAGCATTCTGGACGACGGGGAAGGGGCGAAGACTGTACAACATCATCCACGAAATGCGAGAGTATTTTGTTGCCATCACCAGCGGTCTTTCAGCGTCTGTCGTCCCCCGAAGCATCGACGTGCGCAAATCCAGCACGAAGCTACTTAGGATCACCAACCCCGTACAGGTGCAGCAAGCGATCTCCCTTGTGGCGGCGGTGGATAATATTGCTCTGCTCGTCTTGCACGGGTGGGCGTTCAAGTCCGGGACCCGCCCTAGAGGTTACAATTTGGCTTTCAAGTACGCACAGGAGTCCGTCGCGACGGACATTGCGCGTGTTATGTGGTACGACGAGGAGTGAAGCAACATCGTCAGTGTAGCCGTGTGCGTGCACACAATTGACTTGTGCAGGGACTTGCCACTGTGGTTCACGGGTGCTAACATCGAGGACAGGCCTGAAGACAACGACATGGCAGCCTACCAGGACTCCACCATCATATGCATCGCACATGCATTCCGCGCCGCGATTCAGACCGGTGCTAACATCGACGGCAACTTCATCTCACACGATCCTCGTTCGCGGGTTGCTGACTGCTTCAGGCTTTTGGTGGCGGTGAGCATGTGGTTGATGCGCATGGCGGGAGATGATCTGCACAACCACTATGAAGCTTTCTACTTCGCCAAGCTTGTGGCAAAGCCTACTCTCGTCGCGTCCATGCATTGGTCCTTCGAACATAGACGATCAGTCGTGCATGCTGCGAACGTTGTGACGGAGAGGCTTGGAAAGGCGAACACAACCTCGTGAGAATACCCGAAGTACATCCCAAAATGGGCACCCTGCGGCATCGTTTTCGGGTACGACGCGAGCATATCAGGGTCGGAGGATGCAAAGAGGCTAGATTGGTTGGGCACGGCCCCCCTGGAGAATGAGAACGACGACGGTGGAGATGATGCGTAGGGCGGCGGCGAGGGTGACATGTAGGGAAATCGATGGGGGAGACACTGGCGTGACAACATCTGTGGGTGCGCGTATAGACGTTGGTGGTCGTAACGGGCTTGTCGTTTGTTGTGCACTTGGCGACTCTGCCGCTCCTGCGAGTGACGTTTTAGGGCGCTCACTTCCGCATGGGCATAATTCTTTTAAATTGTCGTGTTTTATGTTGTTTTCCTCGCAACTACTGCGAAAAAATAGAACTGTGAAAAGAGCGCACCCTTTCTTTAACATGCGTCCTCTATTTTTTTTGTGTTTGCTGCCATGAATGAATGATGATTGCCACCTTTGCATGCACACATTTCACGTTCGCATTTTTTCATCTGATTGTTATTTGTTTTGTTGGTTTCGGTAGTTGTTGTAATGGCACCCACAACTTTTTTTTTTTAACAATCGAAGAAAGACAATCCACCCAATGGCCATGAGCAGACAAGGTCGAAGTCATTAATCGTTTTGAAGATGCAATGCCACATTTGATTTTCTCCCTGCTTTATTTTCGCACAAAAATAACAATCGACAGAAGAATAACAAAACACCCCTCGCCACCGCTCCAATGATTTTACGATTCGAAAAAAGCAAGGACAAGAGAAAACTAACTACGATTTGTTCAAAACGACAATATAATTTAATGCACGGCAGCAGGGGCGACGACATCGCACCTCCCGCATGATCCACCCTACTGGCTATTCACCACGGTCGCCACGTGTCAACAAAAACGGCGTATAGGAGATCCGACAGTGCACCGTATCTGCACCACACAGTGGAAACGCCCGTTGGCGGGCTGCCTAAACAACTGCCGTGCACAACCACGCACTGCGACGCTTACAAACAAGAACCATCCTAAAAACCTCCATCCCCAAGGCGTGCACAAACACTTCGTACAAGGCAGGACGAAACCACGGATCTGCCCTCCTGCCAACACTGCAATGACTGCACGAGCGCTGCCGTCCAACATGCCAACACGACTCACTCGTGTTTCATGCACTCCGCCAGAGCATTCCGCAGGGCCAGCGCTTCGTTTGTCGAAGTAATAATGGAGACAGGTTGAAAGGGCTCTTGAATCCTGAGGTCCACACGTCGCCGCATACCATTAGCGTCCACCTCCCATAGCAGATTTTCGTCGAATGGAATTCCAGCGTCGATCAGAACGTTGTGCAGTATATAGACGACAGTGAACTGCCGAGGGAGCGTGTCCAAGTTCGTCTTGTGCGTCCGCAGAAACAACCGCCACATGCCCTTCAGCCAGCCGAACCCCCTCTCCACCGCTCCCCTCGCCACCTTCTGCTTGTTGTCAAACCGCTCCTTGTAGACATGCTGATTGACGCCGCCATACGAGACAACCATCCATTCCGAAGGGGGATAGCCATTGTCTGCCAAAACGTAGCCATTCGTTCGCACCCCCAACGGGAGTGTCACAGGGGGACCACGAAACAACGACCGCGATACCGCGCGCTTCAACAGGCTGGACAACTGGAGCACCCTGATGTCGTGGCAGCTACCCGGGTATCCCATGTGCACATCGAGTACACGCAAGTCGAGGTCGATGACAACCTGCGCGACGATGGAGAAACGCCGCTTCTTGTCGTAGTAGTTTTTGCTCGGAGCGTTCGCTGGCTTGTCCACGTAGATGTGAGTGCAGTCAATGCAACCATGGCAATTGGGGAACCCTTTATCAACGAACGCCCGTAGAACGCCTAGTTTGCGAACTCCTGTCGGCCAGGTAATCTTCTCTCCGTACACCCGGAGCAGCGTGATCGTCACGTCACAGACGACAACCAGGCCAGAAGCTCTGCCAATTCTGAAGTTGCACGTGCTGCTCTCGTATGTCTTCCCCGACGCCCACCTGTATAGTGTGTACGCCACAATCTGGCCTGGCTGCAAAGGCTCTCTGTAGAACGTCACCCGCCGTTGAAGATGAGGCGCACATGCCTCCATGATTTCCCGGAACACTCGTGGCGACATGCGTAGCTTCTCCCAGAAGTAGTAGTCTGTCGCGTTGTCCCATTGTCTAAGATCTTCCCACGTGCCTCCAGTCCTGCGCTTCATCGACCACCTCAGTGTCGCTCGCAGAATTACTCCGCAACCCAACGCGTAGCACAACTGAATGACAACCTTCGAGGTCGCCACATAGTTGGGGCCATCATCCGGAGCTTGCGTCAATGTCCTTCTTCTACGCGCGCGCAACTGCTCCTTCATTCGTTCCAGCACCCTCTCCTGCTGACATCGAAGAACAACGATCGACACGGCCACCCGCTCAAGCGATGTCAACAACGCACGTCCACCCTCTTTGCCGCCCTCCATAGCCGCGACCTCCAGCCGGATTTGTCTCTCCACTGTCGTATGTGTCGTCCTTCCACACCCAATGAACAAGCCGAAGACGTCCGACGAAGCTGCTGCCTTTCTTTGGATCCGGTCCTCCCGACGAAAATGTGTTTGACGACGCACTCGATGTGGAAGAAGGTCGACGACGATGGACGCACTGAACGATGCCAATGCACTCACAACGGGCGGTGGGCGGAAGGGACGGTGCCATTGAGCCCGTTTCAGCACTACACCATCTTCACGTCGCCAGCCGCACGTCGTTGTCATAGTCGCTCCTGTCATTCAAAATTCGAATTTCAAACGTCAAGGTCCCCCGGGTTTATTTTTCCCGTGGCCCGCCTGATGCCGTTTCCCGCCAGGCATCACTGGACCACGCCGCCTCCACACGGACAACAGATGGTGGACCACGGACAACCGACCCCGCGGTCACACATTTCTATATGAAAATGGCCGCAGGCACGCCTGATTCTTCCATGGATGATCTCATGCTCAAAACTTGTGATTTGGTCTACTCTATCTCTTGCTTTTCACTCACATACTAGTAGGTAGTGCTCCGATTCTTCCATGG